CTACTCCGGGTCGGGTAACGAAAACTAAAGGACGGTCGGGGTAAGGGAAGTAGTAGGGGAGGGGGGGGGGCTACGAGCCCTCTTTCATTGTTGTTCCCGGACCACCCATCTCTTCCCTCCCCTTTGCCCGGCCCGGTGAGATCAGATTTCTAGAACAAAGTGAAGTGATAGGAAGAGAAGACTGCTGGCGGGAAATCCCTATTCATTAAAGTCCCTTGTAAAGGGGAAAACGAAAGTGCGCTCCAGTGCACCAGCTGAAGAAAGGAGCTTTGGAAGCTTACCTTATTATTATATTAAAAGGGGAAAGGGTGGAAAACCTATTTGACTAATAAGAAGAAAGGGGCAAGCCAAAACGTACTCCTAACAAGTTGCTGGATCGAAGTAATACATTACACATCTGCCCGCCAGCACCAGAGGGGGTTCGATTCCCGTTATATGCGATGTGGCGAAAAAGACTGATTCAACGAGATATGCCTTACCTGCATTAAGATTTAAAACTTGTCGTCTACTTTCAGGAAATGTTTGGAACAGAGAACTTACAATAATACAACGCCGTATTCTCCGATGATTGAGGAACAAGAAGAGATCTATTAAGAGAAAGATTTATTCTAGAGAAAATCTTAACAGTTACATCCAATCACAAACTACACGAAAGTTGTCCCTTTTTTATGGAGATTTACCCATCACAGAGATGCACAGAGGAAGAGAACAAACTTCATATATCCATTTTCTACTCAATCCAGAAACAAGATCGGACGTTATCCCGGTTCGTCTCCATTTTTGTGAAACTATTCCTCAAGCAAGGCAGCCGATAAGTCATCGAAGGGTTTGTGTGAATAATGGAATGGTTAACATTACTCATTTTAAACTCTCCCACGGTGATATAATATCTTTTCAAGAAAATGATGCGAGAACCCGCGGTGAAGAAATAAAGAGATCCTTCTATATCGAAATCTCAGTTGAAAAAATAATAGGAAAATTCCTGGATCACCCGTGGAGAAGAACCAAAACAGAATGGTTCCGCCTACTCAAAACTAAGAGGGGATGCCGCCTACTACTAAAATCCCGGTTTTTGCAACAGTTGCGTTCTTCTATGCAAGAAGAAGACTTAGAAAGAACAAAGAAGTTTGGATCCGAAAAAGTATGCTTAGGCAGTTCTTTCGCTGAGCACAACAGAATGAAGAGGAATTTTTATCATTTCAAATTCCTATTCTTATCGAAGAGAAGGAATGAGAAAAACCGAAATCTTCCTACTCGAACCAGAAGTCCTATAGTTTACAACTCTTCTTTATATAGTAATTCGACCTATTGCTCTGCATTCCCCATCAGTTTACTAAAAAGATCAAAATAAAAAGGATCGAACTACCTACTCATTATTCGGAGGTGAATCATAGAACACCAAAAGCTGTGTTATCTTATGGACCTAACATAGGTCACACACCTCACGACATAAGATTGAAAGATCCAAACCTTCTTCTTCGGAGCGGAAAGGGACGTGGCCAAAACATATAAAGATCGGCGTAGTCGCTCATAGGGACATATCTATCCGGATAGAGGATAGTCTAGGCCGATTCATAGATAGATCTCTCTCCATATAGATAGGTATCTCCGTGGATAGAGATAAAGATAGGGATCCATCTAGATCTTGATTCACTATTTCCATATTTTTTCTTGATTCTGATTGATTGCCTTTTTTTTGACGACAAGTTTTAAATCTTAATGCAGGCAAGGAAACATCGTTTTTCAATTATTACTTGCTGGGTCGGAGCGTAGACGAGCGAGCAGAGCCAAGGAAAGAGGGAAGCCCGTCATAGAGCAGTCGACTAGAAGTAGAAGACTGCTGGCCTGAGAGAAGGCGGCCTCTCTCGGGAAAGATGGCCCAATTTCTCTTCTTTCTTTTTGATTTCAGCTTTCTTTTTTTTTTCCAGGGGTCCAGAAGGTTAAAAGGTGGGGGAGAAGGAAGCCGAACCTCTAATCGACCTGGACACATAAATAATTCTCGGCGTCGAGAGAGATTTGAGATTCCGTAAGTAACTCAGTGAGTGCTTTCTAAGAAGGGCTTGGAAGAAGAAAATGAAATAGGAACAACCGCGCTGGTCGTAATAGATCGACTTTCATGCTAGTTCTTTCTCCGGCATGAAAGTTCCATTTCAGGGAAGGACGACGTACTATGATACTTTCTGTTTTGTCGAGCCCTGCTTTGGTCTCTGGTTTGATGGTTGTACGTGCTAAAAATCCGGTACATTCCATTTTGTTTCTCATCCCAGTTTTTCGCAACACTTCAGGTTTACTTCTTTTGTTAGGTCTCGACTTCTTCGCTATGATCTTCCCAGTAGTTTATATAGGAGATATAGCCGTTTCATTCCTATTCATTGTTATAATGTTCCATATTCAAATAACGGAGATTCACGAAGAAGTATTGCGCTATTTACCAGTGAGTGGTATTATTGGATTGATCTTTTGGTGGGAGATGTTCTTTATTTTAGATAATGAAAGCATTCCATTACTAACAACCCAAAGAAATACGACCTCTCTGAGATATACGGTTTATGCCGGAGAGGTACGAAGTTGGACTAATTTGGAAACATTGGGCAATTTACTTTATACCTACTATTTCGTCTGGTTTTTGGTTTCTAGTCTTATTTTATTAGTAGCCATGATTGGGGCTATAGTACTGACTATGCATAGGACTACTAAGGTGAAAAGACAGGATGTATTTCGACGAAATGCTCTGGATTCTAGGAGGACTATAATGAGGAGGACGACAGACCCACTCACGACAATAAGGAGAAGCAGTGGTTCGAATCCACATCGTGAGACCAGGACAGTGTGGAGAAGCACCGATAAATGCTATTAACATTGATGATACGGCTTAGAGGAATTCCTCTCTTGCTGCCGGACTGATTCATTTCCTTTTGATGTGGATAAATGGGCATCCCTAGAATCAGCTGCTCTCCTTCCTGTTGGAGGAAGACAATGCGAATAAATTCATATATTAGTAAGGCAAGGTGATTGTTCGTTGACAACATTGGGGCGTAACGGATTGACTATTGGGATCTCTTTAGCTTTAGTATGACTATTACTATAGGCGCTGGAGTCAGCTTGTCTGAGTATGTAAACTATGTGGTGGATACGATAANGCTAGGATTTGGGAAGGACATTTACGAGACTGAGGTGAGTTTTAAGAGAAAGACGGGGGTGGATTTTTTTGCTCTAACTGGCTGTGAGCATGGGAATTGCGTTTCTGAGCAGAGGGCAGAGAGGAATTTGGTGTTGCAGGTTTGATGACTGTGAGAGGGGTTGAAAATTTATTGGTTTTTTTAGCAGGTATATTGGTATGAATGAACATATTATAGATTATAGAATGTAGAAGAGCCATACGGCACGAGCAGTTGAGTACAGTACTATCATGCCTTTGTTTTGTTGTGTGAAGAAAGTAAAAAACTTGCGAAGCACGCACCTCAATCACCCTGCCTGTGTGAATTGAACGAACTTAAAAGTACAACCAGCTTAAGCTGGTTTTCCACCTATTTTTTAGTGTTCGGCCATTTCTAGCAAAGTCTAAAGGACATATTCGTTGCCGATTTGGGGTTCTGATGGAAGATACTGCTGAGGTTATACACCAAGTACACACGTGATTGTGCTCTGGTAGAAGTGCACGCGCAATTCAGCTCTGGAAAAACTCCCTGAGGTCCAGAGAGAGATGAAGTTTATAGTCAACCTCTGCCTCTCAGATAGCTTTCATTTTACACTTCTATGTGGAGATGGATGTAATATTAATATGATTGATAGTTTAAATTTACTATTTGCAGTTTTCCAAAGTCTCAAATTTAGGGCTTGGTTCCGGCCTTGTTTCCTAGTGAATTTATGGATTTGAATACTTCTAACACTGAATTCTTTTTTGTAAATTCAACTTGACTTGTACCTGGAACAGAGAAAAAGGGTATCCAATTGAAATCCAGTTTTTTCTATTTTTCGCTTAGATGTGCTCGGCAGATGCTAAAGCCATAGCGTGATGGCGAGAATTGATCGAGCGAAGAATCACAGTTCTCAGCTATCACATTCAGAAAGACTATCGGCCTAATTTCACTCAATTAAATAAACTATACCCTTACAAAACTTATTAGTACTCCTACACAGTTGTTCAATTTTAATGTTATTCTCAACTCTATCCCTGACTGGGTCTTTGATTTCAGGCCCTTTCGAGGAGGGTATCTTTTTGGTTAATATCAGCCCGGCTCGCATGGACTTCCGGTCTTTCTTAGTTGACAACTTTATTGCAATTTTCAGTTCTCTAGTTACTCCTGCACAAGCAACAGCAGTTATGGATCTGATTGAGGAGCGCTGGGAAGAATGGATCGGGGAGATGCCCTTGAAGATCACTTACCCAGCTCTGGAAGGACATGAGTGGAGAATTGTCACCGGATTTGATCCAAAAAACAAGGGGCGGAGTTACCTTATTGGTGAGTCTTGGCCGGGTTAGTGTTTAAGGAAGAAAACCTTATTGTAGGTTATTTTTTATTTAAATAGTGCCAAATTAAAAAATAAAAGGAAAAAGATGCTTGTACGCACATTAGATTTGCTAACTCAATTGATCCTACTGTGTCTAGATCAGGGTTCTCGCTTGTTAGCTTTGTATTGGCTCCCATCTTACTTAACGGGGCCCTTAGTTGAATACCGATCAAAATTGTTTGCAATTTTTAAAGTTTTTCAATATAGAATTATTAGTTATGTTAAATACCCCGAAAAGCCGAAACCTCTTATTCCGGTCCTTAGAAAAACTATGACTAGTCAGGAATTGCATAAGAAAAGAGACGTCGTAAGTAAGAATAGCACAAAAGCAGGCGGCGGAGATCCGCAAAGGTAACCGGATGCCTGGGGCTTAGGACAAGGAGCGTCCGGAGTCTCTTAAGAAAGGATAAAGACTAATTAATATCATGTTTACACCGGTCGGATTTAAAAAAGTCCTTCGCCCCTTATCTTCTCGTCTATCTTCTTTATCTTCTGATCGGATCGCCTGGCTTCTTTCAAGCCCTACTTGAAAGGCTTGCTTTCTTCAAAAAAGCTTTCTTTATTAAGAGTCCTTTAAGAAGCTAAGCTCCTTCAGATAGTAAGACTCTCTTAACTTCATACCTCTAAGCGCTCGTGACTATCCGATGATAGTCACTTCGCTTTCCTTTTAGACTGAAAAAGAAAAAAGAGAAAGATTGAGCATAAAAAAATATAGAGAATGAGCTATTACGTGCAAACAATGGAAATTCAATAATAAGAGTCTGATCTTCTCGCTTAAGAATATGCGATTCCTCCGGAGTGAAGTTGTTGGGGGGAAGAGAAGATGAGGAAGCTAGTTTAATTGAGGAAGCCACTTTCTTTAATGTATACTAGCTGGTCTACAAAAGCATGACGCATGACGCTTCTCCTTTTTTTAGTCCACTCTCCCTTAGAAAATGGAGCTGCTTGAAAGCAGATTTCAAAATTACATAGGTGAATGTAGAGATCACCGGTGTCCTACTCGAGACGAAGTATTTGTCATCCCCAGACCAAAAGGGATGAGGGAAACAGGCTCGAGAAAGCGTCCTTGGAAGGGGGAATATCTGAAAAAAGTGTTAGCGGGGAGCCCATCCCTCTCGTTCTTACAGAAGACATAAGGGGGAGTACACGACGGACGGAAAGCGGGGAAACATCCTTTTTCTATCTTCTCTCCACAGAGGAAGGAAAGCACCGCCAAGCCAACAAGAAAGCAGAAACTGCATGAGGTAAGACTAAGGGCCTTGTGCGCCCTGCAAGAGATTACCGGGGGTCTCGGTACCAGGGGGCGTGGGAACAAGAAACTCCAGTAAATAAAATAAAGATAATAGGAGTCCTCTCAATAGCCGAGGGCCCACTTCCCTATATGCGCTTACGGAAGGGGAAAAGCTTGATTCTCATAGATTAGACAATACACATGTGCAAACAAGAAAATCAAACTATCTTCTTATTGATACTATATATTTATCCTTTCCCCTATAGATCCACCTTTCTTCAAAATAAAGATATAGCAACTAAAAGAAAGCTAAATCGAATCGGAATAGGATAAAGAACGCACGAAGGATCAGAGAGAAAGAGGATTCTAAAAGCGAAAAGCGTAGAAGACTAGATTGTCAGACTCGGAGGTAGTAGTAAGATCTCTATCTCCAGAGAAGGCATGAGGGTTTTCTAAAAGTCTCCTCTCATTACTTATGGATAAAGCTCTTAAGCTTAAGCTTTTACGAACTGAAAGATCTTCCCATTCTAAATAAGAATGAGAGTCTTTCAACTAGATGTGCTCCTTTGGCTGGGTTTGAGAGAGAGCGCGTGAGATAGTTAGTCTAATAACTAGTCCAACTTCCTTGTATCTAAAAGAGATGACAGGATGTTAGGTCTAGTAAGGAGACTTTTTGGATAATTTACTTCCACGAATAGACTGTTAGGCTAAGAAGAATAGGTTGGGATTGATCCCACCTTTGAAACAGTGGTTTTGTTCTGTCAATACAGCTTATCGAGTTATCAAGCTGAATTGCCTTTTGTAAGGAGCTTAAATCGTTCGTTTACTCTAAGTCTTATTACCGACGTGATGGATTGCTATTTGAAAACACTTTCAATACAAAAAGAGCTCCTTCCGGCTATACTTTAGTTGGACAGTCTTAGTTCAGTTTGAGAATCAAGGAGGCACAAAGAGCTAACAAAGAGTCTTTATATTTGTTTGTGCGAAATCAAGTTGGAGATTGAATTGAAAAGGCCCCTACTATATATAGGGTGTTAGCGTTATTTTTTGAAATAAGGACATTTCGGTTTGACTAATAAGATAAAGTTGCAAGCCAAAACACACTCTGCTGAGTTCGTCTTTCAGAGCTACCTACTTTAGGGCTTATGTAATATATAATGAAGAACCCTCTTAGGCCTTTTTGTTTAAGGGCTGCTCGCCTTTTGAATAGAAGGAGGTGGGAGAGCCGAGGTTATTTCGGTAAACCGATGCATAAGCTGAGGCTCCCATGTCCCGCCGACCCTCCGAAAAAGTAAGGGCTCATAGGGAGTCAGAAGCAAGCAGAGTAAAAGGCAGGTAAAACTCACATAAGCAGAGGGGGAGACACATTCATGAAAAGCGAGAAGCCCTGCCGTGGGGGACTGACCAACTATGAATAGATCTTACTTATGCTTACGGGTAAGAACATATATTAGTCCGTATCATGGGTCTATTTGTTACAAAAGGCGAACATCCCCTTTCCAAAACATTAACATAGGTCCTCAGGCAGACATCGAAAGGGGGAGAAAAGAGTCTATGTACCTTTACAATATTTCGGAATGTATCATGGCTCTGTCTATTCATTAAAAAAAAGAGTCCTGCATCTCGGGTGAACAAATAGGCGTGGGGAAGAGTGAGAGGGGGGCTACGAGCCCTTTCTTGTTGTTGTTCCCAGACCACCCATCTCTTCCTTCCCCTTCGCCCAGCCCAGTGAGATCAGATTTCTAGAACGAAGTGATGTGATAGGAAGAGAAGACTGCTGGCGGGAAATCCCTATTCATGAAATCCCCTTGTAAAGGGGAAAACGAAAGTGCGCTCCTGCGCACCAGCTGAAGAAAGGAGCTTTGGAAGCTTACCTTATTATTATATTAATAGGGGAAAGGGTGGAAAACCTATCTGACTAATAAGAAGAAAGGGGCAAGCCAAAACCTACTCCTAACAAGTTGTTGGATCAAAGTAGTACATTATACATCTGTCCGCCAGCAACAGAGGGGGTTCGATTCTCGTTATACGCAATGTGGCAAAAAAGACTGATTCAACGAGATATGCCTTGCCTACATTAAGATTTAAAACTTGTCGTCTACTTTCAGGAAATGATTGGAACAGAGAACTTACAATAATACAACGCCGTATTCTCCAAAGATTGAGGAACAAGAAGAGATCTATTAAGCGAAAGATTTATTCTAGAGAAAATCATAACAGTTACATCCAATCACAAACTACACGAAAGTTTTCCCTTTTTATGGAGATTTACCCATCATAGAGATGCACAGAGGAAGAGAACGAACTTCATATATCCCTTTTCTACTCAATCCAGAAACAAGATCGGACGTTATCCCGGTTCGTCTCCATTTTTGTGAAACTATTCCTCAAGCAAGGCAGCCGATAAGTCATCGAAGGGTTTGTGTGAATAATGGAATGGTTAACATTACTCATTTTAAACTCTCCCACGGTGATATAATATCTTTTCAAGAAAATGATGCGAGAACCCGCGGTGAAGAAATAAAGAGATCCTTCTATATCGAAATCTCTATTGAAAAAATAATAGGAAAATTCCCGGATCACCCGTGGAGAAGAACCAAAATAGAATGGTTCCGCCTACTCAAAACTAAGAGGTGATGCCGCCTACTACTAAAATCCCGGTTTTGCAACAATTGCGTTCTTCTATGAAAGAAGAAGACTTAGAAAGAACAAAGAAGTTTGGATCCGAAAAAGTATGCTTAGGCAGTTCTTTCGCTGAGCACATTCGTTTTCGGGCATACGCCCAAGTCCCATATTTTACTACGGACCCTACGGAACCGTCAGAACACGGGCCCGGGTTCGTTTACCCAAAATATTGACCGAAGTCAACTTAATTCCCTTTAAAGGCAATATTTAGCATTTTTCTCAAACTTTCACATAGAGGCTTTCCGGATATACGCCTGGACTGCGCACGCAAGACAAAAGGAGGTTTTCAAGGCCTCAGAACACGGAAACGGACTCTAAAACAAAAGATGACCTTTTGGATCATCACAATAGAATCACCAGGTAAGTTGATATTAGGGTCAACTAGTTCACTCATAAAGTCATGAAAGAGTTCATCGCTACTTGAGAAATATTCCTATCAGACTTGATACTTAGTAATCTAACTGCAACAGACAGCTCAGAGCGCGGACTTCCTTCACGTAGTGGACGACTAGCTTCCACTAACTGTTCGTAAAAAGGTTTTGCATTATCATTAGGAGTTTGTTCAACATTTTCATTGGGCTCACCCCCGAAGTGCATCCCAAAAGCATCTGCAACCATACCCTGAATTCTAGAATCAAGATTTGTATTCTCCACCGACCTACTACTTTTACCAACAACCATGTTATAAAATATTCCACGGCTACCATCGATCTCTCCATGATTAATCCACACAAAGTAATTCTCTATAAGCCCCTTCTTATAAAGATGAAGCTTAACTTCCTTCAATTTTTTAAACTTCATACAATCGCACCTGACACAAGGGCACCTAACACAAGGGCAACTAATTACTCCTTCACTTTGGTACGGTAAAAGTGACATCGCATGTCTAATAAAGTCATCAACCCCTTCTACAAAATCCTCCCGAAATCCCCGCCGATTAGGATAATTCCTATTGTACATCCAAGTATGATGTTCCATCTATACAAATAAAACAAGAACAAATTAATTTATTCTACAATTATAAATTAATTAAATCTTTTTTATTTAATTCAAGA